TCCAAAACACACACCAACACAAAGAAGAACGCCTCTGAGGAATGGGGTGTCGGTGATGATGCAGAATATGGACCACTTCCGGGTGGCGCTGCAGAGCATGACCCAGCGCTGGGATGTCCCTTCTCTGAACTCGCCCCCCTTTGCATTTTTGGTTAAAGGCCCTTTGAACGCCTTCCTGGGCTGCGGGGGCCGTGTTTTTTTTGGAGGCGGTTCCGACTCCTTTTCCCTTCTAACCAAGCCGTTCTCCCTCGAAGCGGGGGGAAATCGCCATGAGAGAGAAGTGGAGTCGGGTGGAGTCCGCGAGGTGCACGGGCACGGGGTCTGGGCCGTGGAGACCTTCGTCTCCAGCGGTTGGTGCAAGCGCGTGGCGATGCTCTTCCCCGCAGCTGGCCGCGGAGATGGCTCCCAAAGTCGCCGCGGTTTTTTGGTTTTTCTTTTTTTTTGTTCCTTGTGTTGTTTTCCCCCTCCTTTTTTTCTTCTCCTCTCTTTTTTTTTCTTCCTCCGCCTCGTGGCAAGGCGTGCTGAAAAGAAGGCCTCGTGGTAGCTTGAAGGGAAAGAGTAGGCTGAAAGGGAAACAGATGGCAGTTTCAAGGGAGTCAGTAGCCAAATCTTGGGAATCCGTCAAAATGTGCGCTTTGGACCCAGTATTGTGGGAGCCAAGGAGCCAGCCGCTATGCACACAAATTCGAAACGGTCTTGAATTGGGAGCTAAAGAGCTCAACTACCCCCCCCCCCCAAAAAAAAAAAAAAACAAACAAGCAAAAAATAATTGCAAAAAAAGACACACAACAATACAACAACACAAAAAACACAGCAACATTGGTGAGGCAGTGCACCCGTGGGTTGCGATAACCCTCTTCAGCATGTTCACCTCCCACGCCGTGCGCGCCGCTCTGATCATCTTGAAGCTTGGTCCCAGAAGAGTTCGGGAGTTGGAATCACGACAGGATGGCTCGTGATTTTTTGGGGTTCCCATAGGGGCTGGTGAAAAGGGAAGCCAAAAAGGAGCACCGGATCCACTTATGGGGTTCCGTTGTTTTGAGACAAACCCACGAGGTCTGTCTTTTTTCGGGCCGCCAAACTGGTGGTTTTGCTTTTGGTTTCCCTTTATCACCACAAAAGGGGGTACCTCCCAAAACGACCCACCCGTATCCCACCAAGCCAAGGAAGTTGTCCACCTCCGCTGCATCCAACGCGCTGTTCTTCACCAGCGCGTCGTCCACGCCGGACTCAGATGCTGAGTGCGCACCTCCGCAGACCTTGTTCTCTCGGATGGTTCAGGGCGCCACCGTGGGGGTTTCTTGGCTGCGTGGTGGGATGTCTGTAACGTGGACAGCAGCTTTCTCACCAACCGGCAAAAAGAGTCGCGGTATCTTTAAGTTGGATCCTGCCAACTTTCGAGTTGTTGGTTGAACATGCGTGTGTTTTCCAGTCAGTTTTATCTGACTTCTAGCTGGTTAGATGCTCGTCTTAGACCACCATAGTGATGCTGCAGCAAATACCCCGCCGGAGACCCGCCGCGGAGCCCACAAAGGCACACCGAAAAGGAGATTCCTTTTGACATTGATGGTGCTTTTGGTGCCACGTTGATCTGAAGGAGAGATCCTCAAAAAACGACCTCACAACTGAAGGTGTGCTATTTTGAGGTCTCTTTGTTTGGGGCACCTGCTACGCAGGGGGAAAGCAGCGGAGGTGTTGTCCGCTTGTTTGGGGGACGTCATCATCTTCCTCCTCTTCATGGTGCAGCGGCGCCGCGTGGTGGAGAGAGAGGAATGGACTCCAGAGATGAAGCAGAAGCAGGCGCCAAATCCGTCAAGCATGGATGTGCATCCCGACTTCCACACTTTGCCGGGAAGAAAAGGGTGACCTGCTCATCAAGGGGCACCAAGGCCCCTTTCGTGACCCCTGATTCTTTCGGGAGGTTGCAGAAAAAAGAGCACCACCCGGCAGAGCCCGACCCTTTTTTGGGTCCACCGCCCTTGCGCGCGTGGCGCGGTCGCTCAGTGGTTGGTTGCCGAAGGTGTCCCGCTGGTGGTGGAGGTCCTGCATCTTCTGGAGCTGGTGGGTCTTCCACGAGTCTTGCTGCGTGCCCGCCTCAGTTGATTTCTTCGGCCACGCAGTCGGAAGATGGAATGCAAAGAATGGACGGATTAATCCTGACAGGAATCCTCGGATAATTCTCGTGGAAGGGCACAATCCCCGGGCATTTGTGCCAGTGCTGTGTGCAACTCGCTCATGCCTAACATGTGCCCAAAAAGCACCTACCATTCGTTGAATTCGGCTGGGCAAGGAATTGGCTTTAAAATGTCTAGCGGACATAATCTTCACGTATGTGATGCTTTCCACAGGGCCCTCGATACAAATTCAACTCATTTGCCCAAAAGGCACCTGTTGTGTTCGGTTTGCCCTCCCACCGACAAACATGGATCCAATCAGAGGGTCTCCTTGGAGGACACTTGTTTTGCAGGCGCAGTTAGGTTCCGTGCAACGAGGGGGAGGTGCACCTTTCCAGTTGCGGTAGCTTTGTTAGTGAGGTAGCCTGAGACGGACCATCTATAGTCAGCCTCCGGCCTCGTTTTGTTCCATTTAGTGCACTACGGTGGATTTCCTGAAGATTAGATTTCAAGTAGGGAACAAGGAACACCAAGTGAACTGCCATGGTTTGTGGTTGGTTTGCTTGCAATATGTAGAGAATCCGCCGCATAGTGAGTGAAAATCCTGCACTGGTTGGGATAGATGAAACCCTATGAATACTGGGGAAACCACCTAGCAACTGGTGCCTGGCATCCATAGTATTTGTCCAGATGTTTCTCAAAATATGAGTTTCCGGCATGGTTTGTTTCCATTAGATTTTCAAAAAGGGGTCAATCATTTTGAGAACACCCCCTCCCCGTTGTCCCGGTTTAGGGAAAATGAAGAAAGTGACAGCCGCAAAATAGAAACTGTTCAGATCCTCTACGTGTTCACCTTCCTGGCCAACGTGACCTTGGCCGACGCAGTGAAGTGGGTCGAGAGCACGGGAATCAGCCTACTGCAGGCTGAGTGAGATTTGGTCAGATGGGTTGCCGGTCCGTCGTCGAAGTGGGTCCCTTAAAAGGGGTTGGTTTGATTTCCATAAGGCACGCGCTGAAATGAAGCTGGGAAGTCGTTTGACTGGATCCCTTAAGCGGACTCTGCTCTCCAAGACACCTACACACACTGAAATTTAACCCGAGAAGCCGAGGAGCCGCGAAACCGCGCCGCGGCGTTTTTTTTTTTCTCCGCGAGGACCTGCTGCTGGTGCCGCTGGCGGTGTCGCTGGTGCTGGGCTCTTTGGCCTCGCTGGCGCTGCGCAGCGCCCGGGTGAGGCGCGGTTTCCGTCGGGGGTCGGCGGAGTCGCGGAGTCGCGGAGTCGGAGTCGTGCGGTTGGTGCGGTTCTTGTTGGAGATCGGTTTTTTTGACGTCATGAAGGGGAACCAACAGATGGCAACCAGTTTTTTGAGGTTATGTTCTTCAAGCGGTTCGTTTTGGAGATCGCTTTTTAAGGTTGAAAGGAAGGGGAACCAAAAGGTGGGCACCAGCTTTTTTGAGGTCACCCTATGTTGACACACAAAAACGGAAAGATACATGTGTTGTCCAAGCTCAAGTGAGTCATCCAGCCTTTTTGAGGGCCCTTTAAAACCACCCACTAACTTCAAATGGGACGTTCTTTGGAACATGAAAAGCCAGCACTCTTAGCGGATTCTTCAAAAGGGCCATGTCCTTCTTGATCCATCTTAATTTGCAAGGGAGTATCCATTGAATCTAGAAACCCTGGTGAGAACCCCTCAGCTTTAGTTGCCTCTTCTGGTGCTACCGATACTAACTGGCTCACTGTTCCTTTTCTTGGACTTTCTAGCTCTGCTACTCAAAAGCCCTTGTAACAAATGCGAACTCATGCAAATGTAGCCGAGCAAGTCGCACAATTGACTGCGGAATTGGCATCTCTGAAAGGACCCAATGATCATATTTTCAAGAACTGACTGGGCGACTTCATATTTCCGCGATACATTCAAGTGCCAAGGTTTCGACAATTAGGCAGCCAAAGAATGGGTAGAGGTCGTTGTTTAGTTTGGCAGTACAACATGTGCGTCAATATTTGCCTTAGTCTGAGTTTGCGCTAAATGCCAGTGTGACTGCTGACGTACGCTGAATAACCGCACTTAGCACTTGTCAAATGCTTGGCCAAAAGCAATTGGATGCCACATACCATCATATTTGTTTTCGCGTTTACTCAAAGTTCGACCCAATACAAGCATCGCTCGCATCACATACACCACGATCTCCTCACGAGAAGTTGTCTGCATCTCAGGATATTTTATGTCAGATCATACAGCATCGCATGCATGTGGGGGACCAGCCACCAAGCAGGCCCAACTGAAATCCCACGGATGTGGGGGGCCTTGCAATTTGCCCGAGGTGCAGCAGTTTGGATGCAGATCCCTGTAGATCTCACCAGTTCATTACACCCAGGATGACAATCTCCCCATTAAGGGACATTCGCTTACTCTTTTATTTTCTGTTTCGCACTCTTAAAGGGGGAGTCCTCTCACGATTCGGCCTCCAATGCGTATGAGCTGAGGCTTCTCGGGTTTCGGCTTCTTGAACCCATCGCCGATGGATGGATCGACTGTGGGGAACCCCACGGAGTGCAGACACCCCAGGGGACTTGCAGGGGACTTGTGGAGCTATCCACGCTGGCACCTTGATTCACCCGAAGTGGCGCGGCAAGTCTATGAACTGCAACCGAGAACACCTCAACAATGGTTGGCACTCCCCACGCAAATACTGTCCACCAAAGGGTTGACCAATAGAAAATCACACCCAAGTGCCAAGTGTCGCGCCCGCGGCACGCATATTTTTGGGCGCCAGGCTGGCGGTTGAAGACAAGTGGATTGGAAGTGCTCCGGAGGAGAACGAGGAGCCTGCGAAGGCCGGGGCGAGGTCCGGCCTATCACTTTGGTTTGGTCGGAGGGTTCTGTTCGAAGGGAGCATCTTGTGCGCCCTTGGTATGGGCCTCAAGGGCGATTTTTCACTATTTGAACCATGGGTCCGAAAATGCAAATTTACAGCGGAGGAATGAGATTGGTGAGAGTCCCAAATGGGGAACTTACAACAATGGCGTGAAGTCAATCAAGAAGTGCTGGTTGTTTTTTCCCCAGCTGAAGCCATGGGGTCAGTCCCAGATCGGCTCGCTCGGGGTGATTTGGGGCAGCTTTCAGGGGATTTGGTTCCGGAGGGTTCCAAGGGGTCCCGGGGCTGTTGGGGATCTCATTTTTTGTTTGTCGTTGTATGTATGTGTGTGTGTGTGGGTGTGTGTGTGTGTGGGTGTAACCCATTTGAGAGGCGATCCGCTCACTTTTGGGCCCCCATGAAAGGGTTGCCAATAGGAAACAAACCGTTTTTGGGCAGGTTGGAAAGATTCAGGGTCGAAGGTAAAATTATTTGTTATTTCAGAATTCCACCTGTAGTTCCGTTTTCGCTTTAGTATGTTGCTTCACTCAAATCAAAGGGTACCAGGCTTCCAAATGATTCACTCAATGAGGGCAGAATCAACAGAACCTAACCTGGTGCCTTGGTGCCTTGGTGCCGAGCAGGAATTGCTCCGATGCCGCACGTTCACCGGCTTTGCTGGGGTGGAGAGCGAGGAGGGCGTCAACAGCGAGCACGGCTTTAGCGACGTGGAGGAGGGGATTCTCTGGGGTGTGTCTGCTTTTTAGGGGACCCCCACAAGAGAGATGGTTTCCTTTTTGGTTTTGCTTGAAAGCCACCAAAACAGGAGTGCCCTCCAAAAAGGACACACGCACTTGACACTGGGCGCCTGAAGTCTGAAGGGTTTTCGGAATGTTCTGGCCATGTGAGAGCGACCTCAAAAGGGGAGTTTGCGACCAAGACCTGTGAAGGTCTTTGGCTTGGCCGACCTATAAGGAGCAGGGTACCAAAGAAGTGGTTGCCTTGGGTTTTTTGGGCATTGACCACTTGCTCGTCGGAAGTACCCTGCCACTGAAATAGTCATTTACCCATGCCTGGTGTCCTACCAACGACCCAACCTACCAACCTACCGTTTCCCTTCAAATAACAGGCTAAACGAGGTCTGTCAGAACCTGCTTGCACCGTCAGGCAGACGAGGAGGCGGAGTTCTCCGACAGCGTGCGGCTTGGCTGTGTGGGGACTATGACGGATGGCTCAGTTGAGGTTGGACAACATATTTAGAACCTATTCTAGTGGGGATTGAATCGGATGTTCACTGGGGGTATTTGGATTTTGACCCATGGCTAATATTGCAGTATGTGTCCAAAATACTTTTGGAACCCCAAAAGTTGCGGTTCTCCTTTTGCGCACAAACGCATTCATGTTCTCAATTTCCCATGACTCATTTGAGCGGAGCGAGGTCCAATTGGGTATCCTTTTTTTAGGGTACTCTTCGAAAGGTTGGCTCAAAAGGACCACATTTTATGGAACATCGCCGCGCCAGTTATTACAAACCTACCATTTTGGCGAGGTCGGTGGACTGCTCGGTGCGGCAGGACTTCTGCCCTGTGCTGCCGGGTGTCCCGACTTAGGCGCGAACGGCGCGCCAGGCGCGGGAATTCATTCGCGGGTCCGGAAGAAACCCGTGAAACGTATTTCAGCTTCCCTCCAACTGGTGGTGGTTTGGTGGTTAAAGACAAAAGCCAGAGGATCCTGAACTAGGGAAAAAGAGGCCCCAATTTCACTTGAGGTCCAACATTATTTGGAGGAGGTTCCTTTTTGAGAAGTGGGTGTGTGGAGGTAGGTGGCGGGTATACTGTTGGAGGACAAGGAAGAACACATGGCAGGGCAAGACATTTTGAAAGGCTATAAAGGAATGTGCGAGATCAATCTTTGAAGCCAAGATGGCAAGGAATCCCCTGCAGGTAGCCGGACCACGACACAAGGCTGGCGCGGCTCGCCGTGTATCACACGCGCAGTCTCTTTTAATTTTAAATGAGCACCGGTCAATATTCAGCATCATCTGATGCTGGAAGGTAGATGACATTGGGCACACTCAACAAATCACCATTCGAACATTGGGTTTACTCACCGCAATCCAATGTCATTAGCCGGACCAAAGATATTGCCCGTGGCTCACATCCCCAAGAGCGGCGAATGGCAAGATGCATGGTCAGCGGAGTTGACCTCGTGCCGACCACACTCGCAGCTCCTCAAATAGAGGACTACCCTCCCAAAAACAAACTTCAAACCCAGCGACTTTCCTGGAAGATCATGAATGTTGACCCCATATGAATCAACCCAGTCTACTTTATAGGGGGGTGTCAAGGCTTAATGGGGAATCATCACTTGCGGAGGGGAGCACCCCCTAATAAACTGAGGTTGATTCATATGGGGTCAACAATAAGGATCTCCCAGCAGGCACCCTCTTTTAGTCTCCGGAAGTAATTTAAGAAGGTGCCTCGGGGCATCTGCTCCGTGTCACGAAATCCCCCACATGAAGGTCGAGTCAAAGGCCTCTCGCCCCTCACCTCCCTCTCCGCCCATTTTCCAGGGATGGTGCTGGGGCTGAAATAGAATCTCCATTCTTTCCAACCGCTTTTTTCTTTTACTTTTAGAACAAGCCAGCAGGTTTTCGGGCTTTTCGGACATTTTTCCGCGTTGGGGAAGTGGCCCCTGTACGAAATTGGGCGAGATTCCCCGCCAAAGGTGGGAACAGGGCTCCAGGAAGCGTTTGGCTCCTGAGCGTTTGGGCTCGCCTCTCGTCGAAGACTTGCAGGCAATACAAGTTGGCGCACTTGTCCAAAGTGAATCAACCTATTGAATGTTTGGTGCTCCTTGCTAAGCAACTACGTTTCATCAAACCAGGACCTTTGGGCAGGTGAGAAGGCTTCTTTGATTTGCACCTTGAGAGACATGGCCTTGATTCCACAGTGGAACTAAATCGGGATTCATCCATCCCTGCGACGTGTGGATTTTGTCTATCCACATTTCATCCAGGTTTGCGGTCGATCATCAGCTAGGTTTTCCCCCCTGGAATGAGCACGAGTGCAGACTTGGCCATCTATGAGCCATGGTCAAATCAACAGTCACAGCATTCCATGTGGGCGTGTGCTGTTTGGAGGGTGCCCTTTGCAGTTTTAAAGGGAAGCCGCAAGGAATTGTGTCACATACCGATATGAGCAGTATGGGTCGCATGACGCCTTCCCTCCTGCTGAACATTGGGATTTTGACCAAGGCTCCCCACCATGGATCACCCCCGCGGTGACTCCTTCATCTTTATTTCGCGCGTCCGAGATCAGCCGCGCGGGAAAGCCCTGCATGGGAGGTGACAACCAAAAGGGAGTGTCTTGAAAGGCTCAGGGGAACACCTCGCAGATTTGGCGATTTGGCTTGGCACTTTCCGATGCAATTTGCTCTTTGGCAGTCCAACTTGTTGCTCTCGAGAACAAGGAAGAAGGTTACGAGCTTACTCATAGGAATCCAACCCCTCCCTCTGGTTTCCTCCTACCTTGGCCTTAAGGCCGCACGTGAGATATTAGCTTGACGCTTTGAGGGGTCGAAATCCACGGAGCTCTGCCTTTCGCCGCGGTGTCGCATGATCCTTTCGCGGCGCTCGCCTTTGCTCGAGCCGCAGCATTTCTGGAGGCCGAAGAGCTGAACGACACCGCCAGCTGCATGTTCAGGAGCTAGCTGATTGGGATAGGATCCAGGAGCCAAGGATCGGAAGAATTGCTTGGGGCTTTCTCATTTCAGGTTTGGGAATAGATCGTTTTCCAGAAGCTTTCAAAGCCTTCTGATGAATTCTTGGGAGCAGAGACCCACAGATTTTGAGGCCAGTTCTCAGAGGAAAGCCCAAGCCAGCACATGAGCCAGAGCTTGCAGGGCCCGTCCTTCATGTGCACTCATCTTGCGATGGATGGTCCACTCAATCCGGTGGGCATGTCGCATTTTGGCGTGGTCCCCAGTCTTGCTGCCTGCAGCATCGGCCTTCTCGCCCTCTCTTTCTCCCTGTCCAATCCCATGTTAATTAGTGGGAGGGTACTTTGGGGGAACTTCGCATTTTGGCACAACCCAGTCTCCTGCTTTCATGGCAAAAGCGCTGGCTCAAGTTGCCGGCCCCTCGTTCATGCGTGGGGTGAGGGGAGAATCCAGTCGTTTGTCCGGTTTTGGGCGGTCTCCTATTCCTCTAAGTCAGCAACCGGGCGCGCCAAGTACCTCGATTTCCCAGGCGTTCGCCTTCAAAGGCCTTCAAAATCAGCCAGTGCCATAGGCAAAAAGCAACGCAATGAAGACCCAAGGCAGTTGCCTTCACGTAACGACGTGCGCCGCTCCTTCATGCCGTGAGCGATGCACTGGCGCTGCCTTGCCCCGGCGGCCGCCGGCGCCGCCGGCGCCGCGGCGTCGGGACGCCTGCGGCAGCCTGCAAAGGCGGAGGCGGGGACCCCAAGTAATCTGGACGCCTGATGAACAACTCCCCCCCCCAGTTGTTAATTGCGGGGGTTTTCCAAAGGAATCCCCACTAAAAAGCGACCCCCTGATGAATATCATTGATGGGAACCTCTTTGTTGCGGAAACCAAGTGGGAGGGTGGCCCGTAACCTCCAAACCAACCCAACGATCTTGATTAAGGGTTCCATCTAATTAGAGAAGATTTCCGGATCACTTTTGGGGGGACCACGCCGCCCCAATAAGCCACTCGTCGACATTGACTGTTATTCGGGTTGAGCCCTTTGTTGAAATCACGACTCATTTTGAGGTTGACTGAATATGGCTGGCGCAATGCAGAAAATTTGTTTTTGTTGGTTCAGACCACTGTGGTAAGATGAGTGTTCAAAAACCTGTTTGATGTGAACCCATCCTCATATGAGGGGATTGGGGTGAGATCATTTTCGAGCCACAACCAAGTGTGTATAGCAACCCTTCAACAATTTTGGGGGTGTGCTCTTGTAGGGCAGCTAGGACCTTAGACGAACCAAAACCCTTTCGCTGTTGGAGCCAGGTGGCGACAGCGGCTGTGCACGGACAGGTCTGGCCGCCGCCGAAGCTGCGTCGGCAGCGGTTCACTGTGGAAGGAGCGGCCAGGTGTATGTCCAAGACGGCCCCGCGGGCCCTGCAGGCGGGGGGTCCCAGTTTTGCATCATGTCCTAGTTTTGGCCCAGTTTATTGGTGAGTTGGCTATTTAGTTGTGGCTGATGGATTATCTTGCCTTCTGGCATGCAGGCTGGGCTACGTGACACTGACATGGCAGCAAGTCTGTAAAGAGCACTGGTCCGTGTGGTCAGCAGAGGCTGTGGCACAGGTTCAAGTCCCGCCAGCCTCACACCTCAAAAAAGAGCAATGGCTTTCAATACAACACACCCCAAAAACCTCAACCTACCTTCTATTTTGCAAGCGGCACGACACAGGTTTCGTCAAAAGAGGGCCCCTTCAGTTCCACATGTACTGAATGCACGTGCACGTCTCAGACAACTGACCTGAAGGGAAGCCTAAAATGAAGACCTTCAGAGGAATTTAATACTCTCCCATGCCTTCTGTCAGCAGGAAGTATATTCCAAAGTTGGCTGTTCCTTTCCGAAAATGCTTCCAGTAGCAATCCTTTGGGCTTCCCCAACATCATCTAGGAGGTCAACTTCAGAACTTGGGCAAATGCATAGACATGCCTAAGTTTTCCCAGCTTCCTTTTCCAGGCCCCAGTGCGCCACGACTGCGGGGACGACGCCTTCTTTTTGACCACCAACAAGAAGGAGAGATACCTTTGCTCGTGAGTGTATACCCCAAAAGGAACTCTCTAAAAAACACAAAGAAGCAAACAGAAGCACAACAAACAACACAAACGCAAACACAGACACAGACACAGGCACAGGCACAGGCACAGACGCAGAGGCACACGCAGACACAGACACAGACGCGGACACGCACGCGGACGCACAGGCAAACGCACATGCACAAGTACGCACACCCACGCCCACACCCAGACCCACGCCCACACGCGCCCACACCGCGTGCACGTGCGCACGGGCACACGCGCACCACACACCGCACACACAGATACACATACACCACACAGTTCCTCTAGGAGTCTCTTTCAAGGAGATGTGTTTGGGTGTCCCCCAAAAAGGGTGTTGACCAGCACCAGCAAAGCATCTCTTTTCAAGCACATGTTTGGGTGCTTTCCAACAAGGGTGTGTTCGCGTGTTGTTTGTTTGTTTGTTTGCTTGTTTGTTTGTTTGTTTGTTTGTTTGTTTGTTTGTTTGTTTGTTTGCTTGCTTGCTTGCTTGCTTGCTTGCTTGCTTGCTTGCTTGACTTGATTGTTTGTTTGTTTGTTTGTTGGTTGGTTCGTTCGTTCGTTCATCTGTCTGTCTGTCTGTCTGTCTGTCTGTCTGTCTGTCTGTGTGTCTGTGTGTCTGTGTGTCTGTGTGTCTGTGTGTCTGTGTGTCTGTGTGTCTGTGTGTCTGTGTGTCTGTCTGTCTGTCTGTCTGTCTGTCTGTGTGTCTGTGTCTGTGTGTCTGTGTCTGTGTGTCTGTGTGTCTGTGTGTCTGTGTGTCTGTGTGTCTGTGTGTCTGTGTGTCTGTGTGTGTCTGTGTGTCTGTGTGTCTGTGTGTCTGTGTGTCTGTGTGTCTGTGTGTCTGTGTGTCTGCGTGTCTGTGTGTGAGAAAGAACACAACTACGCAAAGACAAAGAAAGGCGGTCTCCTGCTTGTCCATTTCAGGAGACCATCTCCATGGGCATGGCGGATGGGGTGAGCAGCTGGTCCCGGTACGGCATAAACCCCGCGCTCTTCGCCTGGGATCTGATGGTCCACTGCGAGGCCGCCTGCGAGGCTGGGGCCAGTGATCCGGAGGCAGGGAGCGAGCGGTGAGCGGGGTGGGGGGGGGGAGGGGCGGTGGGTGGGGGCGGTGAGCGGGAAGGGGGGGTTGGGAAGGCGGGAGGGAAAAGAGGGCCGGAACCAAAAGAGGACGCCCTGGCGCCATTTCTGCTGTTTGGAATGCGCTTCAAAGCCGGGCCGGTCTGGGAGGAGATCCTGGCGAACGGCTTCGAGGCGACCTTGCGGGATGGCGCGCAGAGGCGGAACGGGGGGGGTGGGGGAGGGTTCTGCCAACATTGGGTTTCAAAAAAGAAGGATGGGTGAAGAGAACGGGGGAACTTCTGGACAAAGGGAAGCCACACCCATTTGCCCTCCCTTATCCCTGTCTGGAAAAACCCCCTCCGTTAGCCACTCCTCCAAGTCAGGCCTTCATAGGGCTGCAAGTTAAGTTCTTATTTTTGGGACCAGGGTGTGGTTGGGGGTTGGGGGAGGGGGGGCTTTCAATAATTGGGGTGATGGCTTTGCCTTCAAAGAAGGCCCAACGTGGAGTAGAGATGGGCCACGGGAGCTTCGGTCATAATCTGTGGCTGATTTGTCTTCAAGGTTCCTCAACCCATTTGGCCAACACAAATATTTGGTTTTGTCTCCCACCGTGTGGCTCTGGTTTTCCTTTGGCTTCCCTTCGGTTTGGGCCTTTTTTTTGGGGGGGGCATCTGCAGGTTGATTGGGAGCAGCACGGCGTGCATCGTGGCGCTGAACAGCAGCACCGGGCAGATGGAGATTGCCAACCTGGGAGACTCTGGGGCTTTGGTGGTGCAGCCGGATGGCACAGTGATCTTGGAGACCAAGGACTTCGCGGCGCAACGGCTTTCGGTTCTGAGTTTTTGTTCGTTTTGTAGGAGACACCCCCACTAAGGCTTTGTTGAGGGTGTTCGGATCACCTTTTTTGCGAGCTGTTCTTGCGTGCATATACAGACAGAAGGAACCCACCCAAAAAGGGGCGGGGGGGGGGGGGGGGAACCCAGGATTTTTTTTTTCTTGTTCGGGGGGGAAGGACAGAAGGTTCAAGTGGATATGCAAAATGAAGCCCTAGTCGAGGAGCAGCAGCATTACTTCAATTGCCCCTACCAGCTGGTCTGCATCCCTCAGTCCAAGCGGACCGGCCTCAACGGCGGGGATCTGCCGGCCAGCAGTGACAAGTACCACACCGAGGCGGGTGCTTCCTTTGAGCTTGCTCAAACCGATTCGGGCTGTGCCAACAACAGGTTCGGCCGCCCTTGTTGTGCACTCCTTGAGGTTTTGATTTGGTTTTACCTCAAAATGGTTCGACCTCAAGCTTTGTGGTTTCCCCTCAAACTCTTTCGGTGTCCCTTCTTTAATCTACCCTAAAATATAGTATTCCTCCTCCAAAACAGACACCAGTGTTTGAGGTTCGGGCCACACATGCAGTAATCTATCGCATATAGTATGAGCAAACGGAAGACTCTCATTTTACGATGTCGAGTAGCGCAACAGTACCATTTGACCGTGGCTAATTTGGTCTCAAAACAGGACACCCCTTCATGGTTTCTAGGAAAGCCAAAAGGAAAGCAACCTGATGTGGGTCAAGTGAGGTGCGAGTGGGGGATTTGTTGATTCTGGCCACGGACGGCTTCTTCGACAACATCTTTAAGGAAAACGCGGTGAAGGTGGTGACGTCCATGGCGGGCTCTTCGTCCGCGGAGATTGCCGAGCCCCGGCTCACAGCTTGTGGCAGAGACAACAACCATTCGGCCCTGCTTTCTGGTAAAACCCCCTTCCGATATTCATGGGAAGGGGGAATTTGATCGCTGCACTGCACAGATCCAAAACCCCCCTCCGACCTCCTACCCCAGTTCCCACAAGGCCCTAAGCTATAGCCTTGAGGCCGTGTTCGGAATGCGGGGCCTTGGGCTGAGGGGACTGTGGTGGGTTCGCCTTTCGGGCTCGCCTGTCAGATCAACCAACAAAGGAGCCACAAGCAGAATTCCGTCCGGTAGCTGAAGGTTGGTACAACTCCGCCGATGTTTTTGAATTCCTCCCCCTGTGCTCCCGAATTGGTCACTAGGGCCTCACGGGCCTTCACCTTGATACGACTGAACAACATGGCTCAGCTTCTTCTTCTTTTTTGCCGGGTTTCAACCAACTGAAGCACACCAGTTTAGGGGTCTGGGGACGGCTGCTTTTGAACCCATCCTGAAAAGGGGTAGGAGCTAAAACCAAAGGGAAACCAATTCTCTTCGAAGCTTGGGAAAATCCAACAGTTTGGGAGGGGGGGTGGGGGGGATCCGGGAAGGGGGCGGGTCGCAACAATGGGCCCCGCAAAAGGGCTGGTTCCTTTGGTGCCACTGCATGCGATGCGAAACTGAAACCAAGTCGCCAGACAGATTCTTGTCCTGAAGACTTTGAAGCCTTTCCGGAAGCAAAAAGAAGAAGAAGCCCATGAGGGTGTCTATTGTTTTGTTTTTGGGACCCTCAAAGGCGGTTGTCCTTTCTGGGTTTTCCCTTTGAAACCCACCCAAAAGGGGGTTTTGAAACCCAAACAAACTGACAGAATCTCATCTAGGTCCCCCAGTAGTGCTCTTGTGCCCTTTTTTGGGCGAGGGTTCCCCTACTAAAATAGGCTACAGAAAAACGGGTAGCTTTATTCTAACCTCTCTACTGGAGGACCTAGCCACAAGCCTCGAAACAAATCAGGAGCACCTGGTGGACATGGCCTACAAGGCCGCCATGTCCCACGAGGACGGCCCCTTCAGCCGAAACGCGCTGGAGCACGGCATGCGCCACCGGGGCGGGAAGCCGGAGACCCGGCGAGGACGATACATTCGGCGGGTTCCCAGTCCGCCCACGCCGTCTTTGTCCGATTTCCCATTTGGCTGTGGGGTCAAACCCAATGGAGCACCACCCATTTTAGAACCTATGTTGGGGATTGGGATGTTCACTGGGGGCACGGGATTTTGACCCATGGCCATTTGTCTGTTGAAGCTCGTGTGTTGTTTGCTTCATCGTCTTTTTCTTCCTTTGTTTTTTCCCGGAGCGGGTCTCTTCCTTTGTTTGGGCTTATAGACTTCACTCTTCTTCTTGCCTCATGTTTTGACATGTTTTACTGTAGTGGTTTGCCTTTTTCTTTGGTGAATTCCTTTGTTTTGCGGATTGGTTTTGAGTTGAGGTTTATTTATTCCCGTCTGAGAGGTTGGGTTGTGTCTTGTTGTTGCCTTTTTATCGTTGACAACCTCCTTCTTTTCCCTACTTCCCCTGTTCTTTCAACCAAATTTTTGTTTGGTGTTCGGCCTCTTGTTTGGTTCTGGCTGACTTTGTTGTTGATGTTCCTTTAAGATCAAGCACCAACAGCGAGTCCGCTGCTTCTGGGGTCGATTTAGGTGTCCTTGATTTGCTCCTTTACTTGGGGGGGTCATATTATTCCGTTTAAGGCGAACCACCAAACATTTGCGTGGTTTTGGGTAGGCGAATGGACGTGTCGTTTGGATTTCGCTCTCATTTGTAGATTTTTTTCTTTTGCTTGTTTGATCGTTTTAACAATAGCAACCATGGTTGTTCTATTTCTTTCCGTTGTCATGGGCAACTGAGGATGATATTACAGTTCTAGTAGCTCGCATCAAAGGGGTGGAGTGAGGATTTCGTCGTCTTTCTTGAGCGGCCCAGCCTCTTGACCTTGGCCCTTTACGATGGGTTGTTCAAAGTCCATCCGCAAGATCCTTCTGCACGATGGTTTCTGCTTCGGAACCGCAGGGAGTGCTGAAATTCGGGGACTCGGGTCCCCGTTTTGACCAACCCGATGTTTCAATGGGCCGATGAAGGCGGAGCCGAAGGCTTGAGCAACGCGGCGCAAACAAAAAGTGAGCGCTTCAATAGGATTGGCCCTTCGGTGGCACCTGCTCCCCGCATGTTGAGCACGGATCTAAGTAGAAAGTAGAACCTCACGGGATTTACTGGTGGTTCCCGCAGCCAAGGGGTCTCCTTCCATGGTACGTATGGGTCAAAATTGAACTCCACCAGGAATTGGACCGCAGGTTTTGGTTCATGTCTCCACTTGCCAGGGCAAGCCAGCCATTTTGGGGTTATTTTTTTTTTTTGACCCAAGGCCATTTGCGGCCCAAGCGAATTGATCCGAACTTAGGCCTTCACGGCCAGCGCCGAGCCGTCGGATGCCCGGACTCCGCTTGGGCGCCCCGAGGGTCGGAGCCCGGATCCGGACACGGAAGAGAAGGAGGCCTTCGGAAGACTCAACCGCCCCGTGGTGAAATGTTCAAAGGCTGAAGAGGCCAAAAAAGGTGTCCTCAAAAGGTGTTGATGATCCAATTTTTAAAACCTCCATGCGGGTCAAGAGCTTTTCAGTTGGGTCCATGTTTAGTTGCCCGTGAAACCTCAAATCCCCGAAACGAACTTTGCCAGGCCTGGCTGAAGGAAGGAGGACCGCTGTCATGCGACTTCACCGAGGATCCTTTGTCGGGGCCCGGCTTGGCTTCCGAGCTGGATTTTTCAACCAAAGCCCTGAGGCGCCCCGGGCATTTGGCCATGGGTCAAAATCCAAATCGTACCCCCAGTGAACATCCGATTCAATCCCCACGGAAATAAACTTTCACGGGTGGTACACCTACCCCAAAATGGTACCAGTGGTTTTGACCCACAGCCATTTTGAGACATCCGGGTGGAACTATTTTTCTTAGGCTCCTTCGTATTTTGAGGTTGCGTTCCCAAATGGACATAATTCATGGGCCGTATATGGGTCCATAACCCATGACCCATAACCCATGTATTACCTGGGCGATGTCCGTTTGGGGTATGCAAGCTTGTCAGGCCTTTTGGCTGGCGGCTGGAGGCAAAAGGAAATCCATTTACCTTGGTTTTGAGACAAACTTATCCAACCAGTTCCCTGAAATGTTGCAGTTCCGCTTGTTTGCCCAGGCAAAAGGAAACCATTTACTTTGGGGTTTGGGGAGACAAACCCGTGCTTCTCCTTCCAATGTCCTTCTTTTCCCATCTAATTTTCTTAGGGTTCCCCTTCTTCTTATCAGAAAAGGGGCTTCAAAAATTCTCGCCCCCGGTTTGTCCCAAAGTTTCCAGGCGCCCCCCCCCCCCCAAAGTTCCCCGCGCGGACGAGTCAACCCCTTTGAGCCGCTTCCTGGGACCCGCGCCTCCGCTAGGACCGCGTGGATTGGCCCCGGCTCCTGGCGGCTCTGCATGAGCTGGCGGCCAACCAGACGCAGTCCTTCGTGGCTCGGCCGGGCCATGTGCTGGTGGTTCTTTCTTGGGTGGGTTGCTTGGTTTTGGTTGGGGTTTGTTGGGAACCTGGTGTGCTTGCTTTTAGGAGCCCCGGTTAGGGAACCCCAGTTGGTTCCCAGCATCACCAGCCTCACTTGGACCTAGGGCTGCCTATTGGCTCTGATGTGGTGGCGTCAATCAGGGCAGGTCTTGGGTTGGTTGGGCTGCTGTTGTGTGGTCGTGTCGTTAAGTAAGTTGCGGGCTGATTGGGATTGGTTTTGGAGAGTTGCCCAAACACCCCCCTAGGAAAAGGAGGAAACCGAGAAGAAGCCCAAAACTCACGCAACCACCATCCCAAAGCAATCCAAAAGCCACGGCTAAAGCAGCCGCACACCCAAGGCACAAATCAGCTCCAAGCCAGACAAGATCGAAGCCTAAAGGCCTAAAGCTGCTGGTTGGTTTGGGTCGGTGATTGCCTTTGTTTTTCGCGCTTCCCGGGCTTCGCTGGTCGCCTTTGTTTTTAGGTCATGATTACGGCTGCCGGGCACTTGGCTTTTTGCATGAGCCGCCAGCCAAAGCTTCGGCAATTTCTGCACAGCTTGTGGCGAGCAGCTCACCTATTGGGGGTGAACCGAGCGATTCACCCATGTCGTCCTTTACTCGAGGACCCAATTCTTTTCTTATTTTAGGTTTGATTTGTTTTCAAAAAACAACAACCATGCAGCGATTCTACCACAGAACAGTCTTGGGACAGGTCGACCACCAATCAGACCAGCTTCGACTCCAGGCATGGACTCTCCCACCTCTTAAAACAAGATTCCATCAGCCTAGGAGGATTCCGTCTGAGAGAGGACAAGGAAGTGGTTGCATTTGAGAGGGTTCTCAACAACTAGTCTTGGGGGTACCCATTTCGCTCGGGTTCGGATAATTATGTGTTTTTTTCCCCTGCCACCATTACGGTTAGGATTTCTTTAGGGGACTCCAAAATGGTGGGTTCCCTTTTGCCTTCCCGTTAAGAACCACCAAATGGGCACCAACTCGAAAAAAGACGAGGCACCCACAGCCAAAGGTGCAGCTGCAGGACCACTTTGAAGCCGACGCTGGGAGAGACGCTCGCCGGCGTCTAGTGCCTTGTGCAAGCTCCATAAAAGCTCCATAAACCAGTCGATTCAGGCACACTCCTAAAGCTCCAGGGATAGCTTCCCCATTCGAGCCCGATCCTTCTTTCCAAAGAAGCACCAAACAACTGTGCAAGTCATGGAAGCCGCTATCAAAATTCTGGTGAGAGCAAGGTTGTACCTGGGCCCCGGTATCAAGTACAGTATGTCAGCCGAAAGGATTTTCCGAACGGGGGCCGCACACCCATTGCTGCTGAATTTGGCGGGGGCTACGGTGGATGCCCTAGATATTGCACATGGGGGGAGCAAGGGAGCCCTGTGCTTGACTGTGATTTGCCACGGTTTGGTGGTTTAGTGTGCTTGGTTTGCTCGAAATAGAAACGGCGAACAGGGCGTCCACAGTACCATGCTTCGAGTCGACTGCAAGCAGAGGATCTGCGATTGGATGGATGCTTCTTGGGGTCCGAAGCTCAGGATCGAGGCATTGCGCTAAGCCACTCCTACATTTTGGTTGCCGCAGGGGTGGTGGTTGGCACATTCTTCAGCCATGCCGCGTGATCCTAGGGCAAGGTCTGGTATTCAGGTAGTGGTTTACCCATGAATATGGGTGTTCATTTTCTTCTGGGGCATCCAGACGAATGAATCAGTTTGAGAAAGACCGTCACATACCATGCTTCGAAGGAGCTTTGAAGTGGCTTGACCCTTCGATCCGAGGCTATTTACGCTGCGCCTTATGGCCAGGGCCCCGAGAAGCAAAGGATCGTATCGAAGAAGCTGGCGACTGGGTTTTGGGTGGCCATTCTGTGGCAGAAATCCCTTCCATTTGGACAGGGGTCCCTATATTTCCTTTTTTGGTGGTAAACATCGCCTTTCCGGCCCATGAAAAGTGAGTGTCCCTTGGTGAGGGTGATGTTCTAAGGGGAAATATAGGGAGCCCTGATTTTGACAAGGTTGTTACGATGAGAACGTCCCACTTCTCACAGGTGGCGCAAGACCGCTCGATAGGGCTCTCAAGCTTTGGTAAGCCAATGAAGGGGGGGTGGAGCCGTCCTTCTCAGGGAAAAGGGGATTTTTGGGCCAGACAGCGTGTACCATCTCGTGTCATTGTCATATTCCTTTCCAATCAATTTCGATCCCAGATCAACTTAGTGGAACCCCAGAGATCCGGACAATGGGACACACCCTCGATTGATCAAGCATATATTTTTACCTGCGTTCCCATGTTGGCTTCACACAAGTATCCTGGATTCTCTTCAAAAGAAGCCTGTCAGGACCGTTCTTCAAATGGGTGTGGGTCAAAATTAGGCCACCAGCGAACCGCAGGTTGTAGTCTTTGGTTCCATGTACCAGGGCAAGCCATTTTGGGTTTAGCCTATTTGGGTGTGGCTCAAAATTCAAGAGCTAGGGTTGCGTAGGTTTGAGTCTTGGGTTCCACGTGCCAAGGAGTTCATACAGCCATTTTTGATCCAACTCGGACTGCCGTTGAAGGCGCCCATGTTGCGGAGGCTTCCCCCCGGACTGAGACCTCTCGACTTCGAACCGCGCGCGGTTCGGTTCCCGCGAGTAGGCGGTGCTGGTGTCCATGAAGCACCACGCCAACTTCCCGGCGGCGGCGCAGGACTGGTTGGTGCAGCAAGGCCCGAAGGGCGCGCCAAGGCGACGTGCGGGGGGGGGGGGGAGGGGTTTCCTTTTGGTTCCAACCCTGGGCGCGTCGTTTTTTTTTTTTTTTTTTCGTTGGTCCCTTTTTGGTTGGAATTAAAAAGGGAAGCCGCAAGGAGCCTTAACCATTTTCCAAGGATCCCAAGCCTTCGGCCCTTCTAAGCTCCTGGCTTACTTTGTGGGGCGCAGGGAGCTGAGGGTCATGAGCCCAGTCCCCTTAAAGGAAACCCGTTGGATGGTTTACAAGGGTCATGCCCTCATTGCCTGCTAAGGGTTTCCTCCAATTCCAAATGAGGGAAGGCCTTAGTGCGGTCCAGTTGGGGCCTTTGGGGGGAGGGGTAGAGGGAGTTGTGAAGGGAGTGGTGCTTTGGCCGGAGTCCCGACGCCGCGAGGCTTCCGGCAGTTGATGGCGTTGCCACTGGCCGGGCGCCGACGAACGTCTGCGCGGACTCGTCTTCCTTCCGCGCCCGGAAACCGCGTTCCGTGCGAGGCGATGGTGCTGGCGTCCCCCTTTGCTTACAGCCTCTTTGGAGTGCGCTGCTCAAGCGGATGCGAAACCGGTTTCGCCCGCAGAAATTCACCATGCAACCGATGCCAAGGCCCTCCGTTCTTGGAGGATGCTTTTTTTTTCCTGCTTAGGGGCCGCTGTTTTGGATTCTGCAAAACATTTGCAGGGGGGTGTAGTCCATGTGGGAGGGACGAGAAGTGACTGTCTTATCCACTCCCAAACAGCAGGGCACGTGACTGTGGATCATGCCCCGTCAGACCAGGTGCTTGCTGCCTACAGCAGGAATGCCAGAGAGGCGCGACCAGGAACATGCGGGTCCCCAGAGCAAAGTCGCGTTGCAACACCCTGCTGAAATTATTGGTTTTGCAAAACTTGGCCGCCAAACGGCATGCCCGTTTCTTTTGAACACACCCAAATGTCTGCAGTATTTTTTACCACAAGCTCGCCAAATCTGAAACCTAGGATCAGTGGCTCTCCTCCAACTAGGGCTTGTCCCCCGTCTGCGTTTCACATTTCCCCGTCTACGCCAAACAAAGCCTTTGGGATCGCTTTGGTTTTCCTCCAAAACAGCCCCAAAGGCGTCCCCCTGAACCTGAAACCCTGGTGCTTGTGGAGGGTAAATGGGAAGCCTTTCCTTGGCCACCAAACCACCAAAGCCCTTGCCATGTTCGAGGCCTGCCCACGGCTCCAGGGCCCGCCAGCCGTGGGGGTCGGCTGGCAGCTCGGCTGCCAGGTTGATCAAAAGGTCCCTGATACAATGGGATGTCTTCGGGGGGGGAACATCTAAGATTCGATATTTCAACCACGTGGGACAAGTGACCCATGGTCAAAAACTGGGGGCTGAACGGAGAACGGTATAATTGAGTACCCCCCACCTAGCAGAGGGAAGCCAACAGAAAACCATCGTTGTTTCAACTCCCTGGCCATGAGAGGCCTCCCATGGAACAGGTTCCATCATAAATCTAGCTGGACAGCGCCTCTCCGGGGACTCCTTTGGGCAGACTTTGGCTTTCGGTTTCCCTTTGCCCTGAAAAGAATCCGATTCCAGCGCATCTCCCGTTTGTCTTTTGTGGACCAAATCCGCAGGCACCAGTGGGTGGATGTTCAAAGTATGGGGATTTCATCAATCGCAACCAGCGCAGGAGGAGGCCGTCCAGAGTGGGGATGGTCATCAATCTCTCAATAGGGTTTTAGACCAATGGAAAGGTTCCTAGATTTTTGTTGTTTGTATTTTGGCCTTGACCAGGGTTGCGCAAGTGCATGTGGAACAAAGCCAGCATGGTGCTGTAGCATACCGGTCACTCGCAAACGAGGCCTCCCAGCCTCGGAGTTGATCGGAGGCAGGCCACCTTTGCAAACCACTGAAACACGTAATTGGCCATCTGACAAAGCAAAGAGGCGACAAACAAAGTAAAAGCAGCGCAAGCAAGTCGATGCCTGCGCGGGAGACACATCTCATGACGATGGCGGGTCAAAGGCTCCCAGACGATAGACCCATTTGGGTTTGCCGCGAAAATGAGTCACTGACCATATTTTACTGGTTTGGGGAGAACGAGCAAGGCGCGGACCGAACAAATAAGGGTTCTTGCGGCTCGGTTTGTTTCAACATGTCCGTATTGTCTTTTTCGTCCATTGGGGAGGGAGTCGATAAGAAGTTCTGACCATGGCTGAGTTGCGGCAGGGTCAAGGCTCCCTTTCGCAACGGAGTTTTGGGCATTCGGTGTCCATGAGGGCCGAGGCGCGTCCCGGGACCCCACTTCAAATTCACAGAACCACCGGAATGGATGGCTGCCCTTTAGTTTTCCCTTTCATTTCCCTTTCATGTTTTCTTGGTATTCTTTTGGTTTCCCCCTGGTAACAGCCCCAACAAAGATGCCTTGACAAGCCTTGAGACAGCGACGTGACGTACTCATTCCGCACCCATGCCTTCCTCAGTTTGTTGATTTCTACCTGGTTTCAAGCCATTTCTATTGAGAAACACCCACGTCGTTTTGGGAGACAAACCACGGCCCGGGGGATTGCGGGGCCCGGAGTTCTAAGGAGCTCGCCTGATTGGGGAGCGTTGTATTGCTTTCGCGGCCGGGGCCCCAGGATTTGGATTTTGTAATGAGTATCCAATCGCACATGAGGTTTGTCAATGCGCTCCATCCCCCCCCCCCCCGGCCCCCACCCCACCCCCACCCCCCCCCCCCGTAAGAGGGAAGATCATACCCTATGTGTCGTTCAGGCTGGCTCCAGCTTTGAGTGAATTGTTGAAGTGAAATTATAATGATTTTGCAATTATTGCAATTATTGGAATTGAATTCCAATAATTACAATAATTGCAATAATTTCAGGTCCTGGATTTTGCAATTATTGCAATTATTGGAATTGAATTCCAACAATTCCAATAATTGCAATAATTTCAGGTCCCGGATTTTGCAATTATTGCAATTATTGGAATTGAATTCCAATCATTGCAATAATTGCAATAATTTCAGGTCCCGGATTTTGCAATTATTGGAATTAGTCGGACCGGCTTTGAGGCCAAATCTGGGATCAATTAATTATTGCAATTATTGCAATTATTGCAATTATTGCAATTATTGGAATTGAATTCCAATAATTGCAATAATTGCAATAATTTCAGGTCCCGGATTTTGCAATTATTGCAATTATTGGAATTGAATTCCAATAATTACAATAATTGCAATATTCGGAGGTCCCGGATTTTGCAATTATTGCAATTATTGGAATTGAATTCCAATAATTGCAATAATTGCAATAATTGGAGGTCTCGGATTTTGCAATTATTGCAATTATTGGAATTATTCGGCCCGGCTTTGAGGCCAAATCTGGGATCAATTAATTATTGCAATTATTGCAATTATTGCAATTATTGCAATTATTGCAATTGAATTCAATTCAATTAAATTAATTCCAATAATTGCAATAATTGCAATATTTCAGGTCCCGGATTTTGCAATTATTGCAATTATTGGAATTGAATTCCAATAATTGCAATAATTGCAATAATTTCAGGTCCCGGATTTTGCAATTATTGCAATTATTGGAATTCAATTCCAATAATTGCAATAATTGCAATCATTTCAGGTCCCGGATTTTGCAATTATTGCAATTATTGGAATTGAATTCCAATAATTGCAATAATTGCAATATTCGGAGGTCCCGGATTTTGCAATTATTGCAATTATTGGAATTATTTGGTTCGGCTTTGAGGCCAAATCTGGGATCAATTAATTATTGCAATTATTGCAATTATTGCAATTATTGCAATTATTGGAATTGAATTCCAATAATTGCAATAATTGCAATATTCGGAGGTCCCGGATTTTGCAATTATTGCAATTATTGGAATTGAATTCCAATAATTGCAATAATTGCAATAATTTCAGGTCCCGGATTTTGCAATTATTGCAATTATTGGAATTGAATTCCAATAATTGCAATAATTGCAATAATTTCAGGTCCCGGATTTTGCAATTATTGCAATTATTGGAATTATTTGGTTCGGCTTTGAGGCCAAATCTGGGATCAATTAATTATTGCAATTATTGCAATTATTGCAATTATTGCAATTATTGGAATTCAATTCCAATAATTGCAATAATTTCAGGTCCCGGATTTTGCAATTATTGCAATTATTGGAATTCAATTCCAATAATTGCAATAATTGGAGGTCCCGGATTTTGCAATTATTGCAATTATTGGAATTGAATTCCAATAATTGCAATAATTGCAATAATTTCAGGTCCCGGATTTTGCAATTATTGCAATTATTGGAATTGAATTCCAATAATTGCAATAATTGCAATAATTTCAGGGATTTTGCAATTATTGCAATTATTGGAATTGAATTCCAATATTTGCAATAATTGCAATTGCAATAATTGCAATAATTAATTGATCCCAGATTGGCCTCAAAGCCGGGCCAACTAATTCCAATAATTGCAATAATTGCAAAATCCGGGACCTCCGAATATTGCAATTAATTGCAAAATCCGGGCAATTATTGCCAATCAATTCGCAATAATTGCAAAATCCGGGGCCTAATATTGCAATTATTGCAATTATTGGAATTCAATTCCAATAATTGCAATAATTGCAAAATCCGGGAAATATTGCAATTATTGCAATTATTGGAATTCAATTCCAATAATTGCAATAATTGCAAAATCCGGGACCTGAATTATTGCAATTATTGCAATTATTGGAATTCAATTCCAATAATTGCAATAATTGCAAAATCCGGGACCTGAAAATTATTGCAATTATTGCAATTATTGGAATTGAATTCCAATAATTGCAATAATTGCAAAATCCGGGACCTGAAATTATTGCAATTATTGCAATTATTGCAATAATTGAATAATTGCAATAATTGCAATAATTGCAATAATTGCAATAATTAATTGATCCCAGATTTGGCCTCAAAGCCGGTCCGACTAATTCCAATAGTTGCAAAATCCGGGACCTGAAAATATTGCAATTATTGCAATTATTGGAATTCAATTCCAATAATTGCAATAATTGCAAAATCCGGGACCTGAAATTATTGCAATTATTGCAATTATTGGAATTGAATTCCAATAAATGCAATAATTGCAAAATCTGGGACCTGAAATTATTGATTGTAATTATTGGAATTGAATTCCAATAATTGCAATAATTGCAAAATCCGGGACCTCCGAATATTGCAATTATTGCAATTATTGGAATTCAATTCCAATAATTGCAATAATTGCAAAACCCGGGACCTCCAAATATTGCAATTATTGCAATTATTGGAATTGAATTCCAACAATTGCAATAATTGCAAAATCCGGACCTGAAAATATTGCAATTATTGCAATTATTGGAATTCAATTCCAATAATTGCAAAATCCGGGACCTCCAAATATTGCAATTATTGCAATTATTGGATTTCAATTCCAATAATTGCAATAATTGCAATAGTTGCAATAATTGCAATAATTAATTGATGCCAGATTTGGCCTCAAAGCCGGGCCGACTAATTCCAATAATTGCAAAATCCGGGACCTCCAAATGTTGCAAATATTGCAATTATTGGAATTGAATTCCAATAATTGCAATAATTGCAAAATCTGGGGCCTGAAATTATTGCAATTATTGCAATTATTGGAATTCAATTCAATTAATTGCAATAATTGCAAAATCCGGGACCTCCGAATATTTCAATTATTGCAATTATTGGAATTCAATTCCACTATTTGCAATAATTCCAAAATCCGGGACCTTCAAATATTACAATTATTGCAATCATTGGAGTTGAATTCCAATACTTCCATTGTAGATATGAATTGATCCCAGATTTGGCCCCAATCCAGGCCAACTAATTCCAATATTTGCAACAATTGCAACTGACTTTCAATAATTGCAATAATTAATTGCAAAATCCGGGACCCCCAACTATTGCAATTTTTGGAGTTATTGGAATTCACCTTGGAAGAATTTGAGTACTTTGAAAAAGCAAAAGCAAAACACGTATAATAAGTATAAGATCTTGGATTCCTCAAGAAGTACACGATCCTTTAAGAATATTTAGAATAATTTGAGTAGATAGGAATAATTGGAACACACACATGACTCTGGAATTGGAATTCCTCAAAAGGCGCGCGTCACCCGTCCCTTTGGGAATACATAGAAGGAAGAACATAATTGGGATCATGGGAGCAACCATTAATCTGAAATTCCCCAGAAGGGACCCGTGCCGTTGGGAACACTTAGAAATCAGAACAGAAGAGCCTGGAAATCCACAAAAACAAGTTACAAGAAGCATGAATCTGGTTTCCCCAAAAGGCACCCTTTCTTTAAGAAGAAATCAATAAATTTGAATAACTAGGGAAGTAGAATGATTAGCGCAACATGAATCTGGACTTCCCCAAATGGCACCGGGCCAATTGAAAGTATCCAGAACCATTAGAATTGTTCGAGTTGTTTGAATGATTCGAATAACTTTATCAAATATGTATGCTGGATTTCCCAAAAAGGTACCCCTCTTTGGAACAAGTTAGAGAATGATTATTGTTGTAAAAAGTAGAATAACTAGAGCAAATTTGAATCTGAAACTCCACAAAAGGCAACCGTCCCTTTGGGAAGAAGACGAAGGATGATTAGAAAACACATGATTCTGGAATTCGCCAACTGCTCCCGTCCCTTGGTGAAAGACTGGCCTGGAATTCCAAAAAAAGCGCCCGTCCCTTTGGGAGTGGTCCGCATACTTAGAGCAATTAAAAGACTTAGAATGATTAGAACAAACATGAATCTGCAAGTCCCCAAAAGCACCCGCCCCTTTGGGAATAATGAGAATAATTAACTAGACGAGTTCGGAATAAGTAGAATAATTTGCGCAACACAATCTTCAATTCCCCAAAGGCACCCGTCCCTTTGGGAATAACAATTATATTTAGAAGACTGATGATACGTAGACTGTTTAGCAAACAGGTCTCTTCAATTCCCCAAAAGACGCCTGTCCCTTTGGGAGTGGTTCGAATACTTAGAGCAATGAAAAGACGTAGAATGATGAGAACAAGCATGAATCTGGAAGTCCCCAAGAGGCACCCGTTGGGAGTAATGAGAAGAATTAGTTGGAAGAGTTATGAGAAGTATTATTATTTGCAAAATCAATCTTTATTTCCCCAAACGCACCCGTCCCTTTGAGACTAGCATTTGTATTTAGAGGACGGTTTACAAGTAGAATACTTAGCACACAGGACTTTTGAATTCCCCAAACGGCACCCGTCCCTTTGGGGGTGGATCGAATACTTAGAGCAATTATAAGACGCACAATGATTAGCGCAAACATAAATTTGGAATTCCACCAATGTAACAGTCACCGGTCCATTTCAAAATAAAGAGAAACCTAATTAGAAGAGGTATGCTAAGTAGTATAATTTGCACAACAGCCATCTTCAATTCCACAAAGGCACCCGCCCCTTCAGGAAAAACAAATAAATTTAGAAGACTGATGATAAGTAGAACAATTAGCACAGAGGACTCTTGAATTCCCAACAAGCCACCCGCCTCTTTGGCAGTGGTTGGAATACTTAGAGCAAGT